GTCTAGATATCCATTCTTAAAAATAATAAAAAAATCATTTCACATTTAAATTTTGAGTTGAAAATTTTTTTTCCCAAGAAGCATCCGATCCAAACCAAGATATTAGCTTGGTCTTGGAATAGGCCCAAGGCCCAGTATTCCTTGGATGGACCAAGAGGTCTAAGAAGTTCAAGAACCAAGACCCATTACCTTTGGGTCGAGCGCTAGAGCCCAAGGGGGACTAATTTCGAAATAAGAACGAAAATGCAAGGGTATTTTTGGAACATTGAAACCTTGGACGGTCTAACCGATTATATATTAGTTAATCGAATTCTAATTGACTTTGTAAAGGTTCAGAGCAGGAGTTGAAGCGGAGCTAGGGTTTCTGTTCTTTTCCGCCCGCCTCAGTTTCAAGGTTTGGATCTCTTCGTTCTTCGTTGATTTTCTCTGATTCTGATTATATATTTTGTGAAGGGAGTCAGAAATTTTGGTTCTTCAGGTTCGAAACAATGTCTCGCGTGTACGTGGGTAATCTGGACCCACGAGTCTCTGAGCGAGATCTGGAGGATGAGTTCCGTGTGTTTGGAGTTATTCGAAGGTAAAATGATTTCTTTTTTATGGGTTTTTTGTTCGTCTATGTTGTCGGCGTTTATTTATTGTCTAAGAATGGTCTTCCTGTGTGCTTTTGCTAATTTATCTTGTGTTGTTTTGCAAGTTGATAGCTTTGGGGCTTAATTTTATTAAAGGTAATGGGTATCTGTTGAAAATTGAGAGGTGAAAGAAAAGGGGAGAAATTGGAATCAAACTGTTGTTGTTTGGATGCTCTTGCAGAGCAGCTATTACGTTATCACTGCTTTGTCTCTGTATTGTAACCCTTGTCTACCATGGCTGAGAGGATACGAAGTTGTCTGTCACGATGTTGAGATTTTGGTGGTCAAATCATATTGTTACTTTTTTGGTCCGGGAGTATTCTAGACGGTTCTCTCTTTATATTGTTTTAACTGAATGGCATATGCAGTGTGTGGGTTGCACGAAGGCCTCCAGGCTATGCTTTCATTGACTTCGATGACCGAAGGGATGCTGAGGATGCAATTCGTGAATTAGATGGTATGAATACAGGGACTATCTGAATTGAATTTATCTAACTGCTTTATGGCCTTAGTTGCATTTCTATCCACCTGCCAGAAGATTCTTGTTGAAAAATATGATGCTTTGTCTGCCAGTTAATCTATGCTTATTTACCATTCTTGTTCTATAAATCTTTGGAAGAAATCATGATTGCAGTATGGTCCAGTTTGTGTAAGGTTTAGTTTTAATTGTCTCTACAAACTGTTGATAAGATTATTATACATTCTAGCTTTTCAATGACAGCAAGACCTAATCCCTTTCATTTGGTGTAGTTTATCTTTGTAAGCATAAAGAAAAGCATAATATTTCAGATCTTCCATGCATAAACAATGCTTCATGTATTGCAATATTTGACAGGCAAGAATGGCTGGAGGGTTGAATTATCTCACAATTCTAGAGGTGGAGGTGGACGTGGAGGTGGCCGTGGTCGCTCTGGTGGTTCTGACTTGAAATGTTATGAGTGTGGTGAGCCAGGTCATTTTGCTCGTGAGTGCCGCATGCGAGGTGGTTCAGGAAAACGCCGCAGTCGGAGCCCTCGATATCGCCGCAGTCCAAGTTATGGACGAAGGTAATGGCATTGTTATATTGTATTGCTTTATATTTCTTAATCTGCTTTAGCTGATGCCTAAATCATGTGAATTAGGAGTTACAGTCCTCGTGGACGATCTCCAAGACGCCGCAGTCCCTCTCCTCGTGGACGCAGCTTCAGTAGGTCTCCTCCATACCGTGGGCGTGAAGAGTTGCCTTTTGCCAATGGGTGAAGCTTCTTGAACTTGATACTTATATATGTATATTTGGAAATTCGAAATTCTATCTTGCATCTGAGCATGGATTCAGTTCTCCCAAAATACACATACAGTTGCACTTAATACTGTGTTGCACACATTGTTTCTGCTGGTTTATGGCTATTCTCTTAATTTGTTTATCATTTAAGTAATGAGTATGCTCCTGATAAATGTTATGCAGAAATGGTGTCAGGGATCGTCGCCGAAGCAGGAGCTGAGCTTCACCCACCAGTCTTTGCTCTGTTATGGCAGCATTGGGATTAAGTTTGTTTAGTATGTTTGGACTTCAATACAGTATGTTTTAATTGGGCTATGCCCACAGTCTCTTGGACTTGGATAAGTTCTCTTTGTTCTTAATTTCTATATGATGGTTTTCTCTTGTTTATCAGTGCTGAAAAGCTGTTATGTTCTTAAGATAATATATAGGCAAATAGGATTTTAAGATAATCACTAAATTTATTGAGAAAGCATGCTTGAGAACTTTGCTAAAAAGCTTTTGCTTTTCTCTTTTTGTGTTTTGTTGAGGTGTCTTCTGGGTTTGCTTCATTGGTTTTCTGCTTCTACACTCTCTTGAGGTTTTCTTCTTTGCTGCCCTGCTATGGAATCTTAAATACTTGATGATTGTGGGTCCCATTTCGGCCTCATCTCTAGATGCTACTGTTTGAATCTCTCCCCAGCTGTGATGCCTCTTCCTCAAAACTCTAGTGGCATTTCTTTTATTAAACTTAAACGGATTTGAGGAGCTGCGCTTCTGGCAGGTATATATATCTGTTCCACAGAAGTTGGTTGTTGGGTCCTTAAAACAGTGGGGTTTGATGTCTTTGCAACTTCATGGTGGCACTAACAAGTTTTTGAAAGGATTTGCAGGGGAACAATTTTTTTCCTCATTTCATGGGTAGGAAATGCAATGAATTTTAAAATGGTTTTAGTAATTCAAATGATGGGCAAGAATGAATTTGGAATCTTTTACTTATTTGGTGTTGAAAAATATGGATTCTGAACTATTTTTCTAGTATCTGCATCAGATTAAACATCCAATTAAATGAGTCTTTTGACACTTTTCTGTTGTATTTATGAATTTTTTTACCCTTTTTGGGGGGAGAGTGGGATGTTTACTGTTTGGTCCAAGTATGTCTGGGTGCACATCATCTCTATGGCGCGGGTGTTGTTCATAGACAGTGGGTTGTTAATAAATGCTGCGTTAGCTTTGAGAGCTGTGCAAATATTGGGACGACCATAGCTGCAGATCCTTGTTATCTCCGATATCATCTCAACTAGCTGATTAAGATACAACTGTCAGATTGTGAACAGTAACTATGATCTAAACAAGCTGACAGAGATTCGGCTACTCAGTTGTAGTTTTCATCTCTAATGCTGCGAATGAAGCTTTGTTGAAGAGTCATTGAGGGTTTCTATTTTGTGGTTCCTGCTGGACAGGATTAGCCTCCCAAATTTGCTGGCCATGGTTTGTATTTGGTTAGAATATTTTGTTTCAACCCTTCTTCGGCTGTCATTTAGGAAAAAAATTTGACACAGTATGATTGCTAATTGAGATTGTTGTGGCGAAGATTGGTCCCACTCCCCCTTTTTTTAAAGAACATACAAGGGTTGGATAAGACGAGGGTTTAAAGACGCGTAGTGTTTGTTTTAGGTTGTCATAAACAGCCGTTGGTTGTGAAATCACCCCCTCCTTTTTTGTTTTTTTCTTCCATTTTGGGATATGTAAAATCATTGATATTAAGGTATACTCTAAATGATGCTAATTGATTTCTTCTTGGATTTGCACTTACTCATGCTAATGCTGTGGGCGTTGTCTGAGTCATTTTTGTGCTTTTATGATTGTTTGAAGCGCATTTGCCAATGGAAGTGTCTACTTTTCAATGCAAGTCTGGGTATTGAGTCAGCTTCCATCTGTTGCATGTTAAGAAGTGGACATCCGCTAATTAAGTCCATTTGGTGCAGCTTTC